CCCGGTAACCAGTTGGAATCGAATACGGCAAGTCGTCTGAGTAAGTGTGCGTTTGTTCCGGCTGCCAATTACAGAGGCAGCGTATTTTTTTGCATAATTCTATCCAACGTGTGTGTGTGTGTGTGCGTCTCTATCGGAGTGCTACGGGGCTCTGGGGCTTGGCTTTTCAAATCTGTGGGTAGTGGCAGGGCCGTCGCCCTGCAAGGTGTCCCAATAAAAAGCACCCCCTCTAATTCGATGCAGAAGTATCGGATCGTACTGAAAGTTACACCATTCGGAAGCCCTTCAAACGGCGAGTTTGTAACAATCTTCATAACCATGTTTTTATTTGGGACACACTGTATATTGTTCCGTTCCCTTTAAAATTCTAAAACTTATGCAAATCTGCCCCCCCCCCCCCTTTCTCGCAAGTGTCATTTAATTAGGCGATGTAGAAAGCCAAGGTCGTTTTTAAAAATCGTTAGAACGTGATGATGCCGCCGCTACCTACCCCCACCCAGACTCCCCTCGCCACACATTTCCCCCCACGTATTCAGATCGGTGTGATCTCCGCCCTATGCCCCTCCCCTACCCGGTTTCGAATGTGTTTCTTCCCTCCTTATTTTGTGGAATAAACGTTTGGCTTCATTCTTCGTTTCGGCAAATTCACACCGTAACCACCGCCCCCAGACACTCAAAGACAATTCGTGGCCGCCGTTGATTTGCAGAGATTGACAAAGAGGCGTTCTGACTGACATGAGTGCATATGGAATTAGAAATCCTCGCCGATTCCCTTAAAGGGACCTCGCAGTCAAAATTCGCGTGTATGTAAATGGCGCCCACTCGCCTAAAAAATGCCGAAAAGCTGAAGCAAAATTCCAGCCATAATCCCGACATTCAAAATACCGACATCCAAAACCCCGAAAGGCCCAAATCCCGACATCCAAAATGTGCTATTTTCAGATCGTTTTACCCATAAATGGTTTTAAAATCTCGGGTTTCTGGCCGTCGGGATTTTGGCCTGTCGAGATTTTGGCTGTCGTTTTTCCGATTCCCGGGCTTAAAAACGCATACCGCTTCTAGAAGCTCGACGTCACGGCTGCATCAGAGCAATCTAAGGAGCCATTGAGCGCCGGCCCGGATTGGCTATTGAGTGCCATTCTGAGCGATGCTAGGTGGGGCAACGCATAGAGCGTTCGATCACGATACTCGTTATAGAGCCGGAGAATACGATTCGCTGGGGATTCTCTCTAATCCGCTAGCCGAGCCCTTTGGCGCAATGATGACTCCACGACCAATTGTCAGATCCTTATGAATCCGGAATGGTTTGTTTAGGTACCTACTGGTCGTCCGTTTGTCATCAAAAGCCTGGAGGACCAAATCGTGGCTGAGGGGGCAAGGTAAACAAATTTCAACCATAACCCCAACTTGACAAAACCCCGACAGCCAAAATGCCGACATGCCCAGCTCTTTTGTTAAGATATAATTTTTCAAATATAAATAATAGAAGTCCCGAGATAGACAGGCTAGACCGTTGCTTCGAGTCCCACCGTATTCAGTATTCCGTTCAGACTCGTCTTCGAGGCCGAATTTTACAGCCCGACCGCGCTGTCAGCTCTATGGAGAGGGCCGGCGGTAGAGCAGGGCGACGCTCTCGTCACGGTACCTTTGGAAACCGGATCACTTCCAAAATTTCGAAATTCATAATGTCGAAATTTCATAATGTCGAAGTTCAGAACGTCCATTTTTTGCCTAGTATTTGGGGGGTTTCCGGGAAAATTAGGTTGTGTAAATTTCGACATCATGAAACCTTGACATTATGAAATTTCGACATTTTGAACTAAATACCTTAAAAGGTCATTGCACGATGCTTCTAGGGCCTCGGTACCTCAACCAAAATGGTAGTCGAAAGCTCTTTGCGCAGTCACTCGGGCCAGTACTCGATCATTGCGGAAAATGAGCTCGGTTCTACGTCAACGGAGGCGATAGTAGGTTGTCGAGCGGCCAGGCCAAATTGTGCGCGTTCAGGTTACGGTACTTGGCCGCCCGGCAGCACCGCAAGGCGTGCAAATTGAAAAAGACGGGACGTGACTCGATACGGCTGAGTTGGCAGTATCAGCCGCACTGCCAGTACAGCGTCGAGTACACGCGTGAAGGTACGGACGTTCGGCGGGGCTTCACGAACGATCAAAGCCTCGGCTAGCTTGTCGTTTCTGAAGACTCGCCATCCAGTGTCTCCTTACGCTTTTCAGGAGCTCCACTATACCGTTGTGCGCGGAGCGGGATTACGAAGCCAAGCGTCACCTTGAGGTGGGGCCAAGCCAGGGATTTGATTGGCAGGCCTTTGAAGCACTATAACGTTTCTTTGCTTGACCCCGAATCTGTTTAGAAACTTCCGCCCGATGCGCTACCTAATCCGCGTCGTCCCCTCAAATCTGTGTTGTCGAGGACCGCCGTCCGAATCACTGGTGCTCGATTTTTCCGAGGAGTCTCAGGTAGTAACGACGCATCTCGCCGAAAATATAAATACAGGAATCGCTGCCGATTTTTGAGGCGAGCTTCGTCTTTTCCGAGCTGCTCGGCTGCGGTCGGACGGCGTTCGTCTTTGAAGCGAAGAAATTGGCCGGGTCCAGTCGGTGAGACAACTTGTAGCCTGCGGATTAAGATGCTAATTTAGAAAATACGCAGCAAAGGTCTACGCGGCCCGACGGAACTCCAATGACGTGGCGCGTGAGGCAGAGATATTGTCGCGTGAGCGAATGTTATGGTTCTTTCGCATTATCCGGGGGGAGGGGACCGACATTTTTTGTAAATGTTAAAAATGTCTAGTAATTGAATAGAGCGTGTTTTAATAGTGTTGTTAGTAATATATAACTATGTTTAAACTACAAAAACTATCTAAAAACTCTAAAAAAAGTTGAACAACTCGAAATATTGGTCAAAAATCGCTTTTTTGGTAGAAAAATCCCTATTTTTGATGTTTTTAATACAAAATTTACAAGTTTTCACGTTAAATAATAGTACAAAGCCATTTAGAAACACTGTCACTACTTATATTTAAAAAATGAGGTCTTAATAAAAAAATTTGGTCCCCTCGGAAATGCGAAAGAACCGAATCTTTCTTAAAATATGTTTTGAATTTCTTCGCAGAATTAACGCACCCAAGCCTGCCGAACTTCGAGGGCACCTTCCGCTCCGACCGGGGATTGGTGATCGTCGTCGAGAGGTGAATTTTACTTGAACTTTAAACTTGGAATGACAATGTAACTGCAAAGTTCAAACGATTCAAAAACTCTAGGGTACCCGGCGTCGACATTGTCAGCTTTATCTGCCAGCTTGGTTACCTCTCGGAAGGTATTCTACAACAAATCTCGCGTCAAATTTTCTCCGCCCTTGCCTACCTGCAGCAGCTCGGCATTGTCCACCTCGATGTCAAGGTTTGTTGGCAAAGCACCGGCGTGCAGCTTGAGGCCTGCCGAAATTCATGTAGAATTTAAATTTCCGTTAAATTTCAGCCTGACAATATCCTTGTCGACAACAGGGCGACGCTGATAGATTTTGGATGCGCTCAACAGGTATTTTTAGGGATATTACGGTAAATTAGGATAGCTTAGTGGTGAAAGCCTGCGGTTCTTTCGCATTATCAGGGGGGGGGGATTTTTTGTATAAGTATAGAAATGCCTAAAAACTTGATAGAAACTGTTTTTATAGTGTTTTTTAGTAATCTCGAACTATGTGTCAACTAGAAAATCTATCTAAAATCTTTTAAAAATTTTGAAAAAGTCGGCTTTTTGGTCGAAAAATATATTATTTGAAAAATGCGTTGATAAAAAATTGTAAAGGTTTCACGTTTAGGAGTAGTAAAAATAGCATAAAAATCTAGGTCAACGCCGCCGATTGCAGTTGGTCTGACGGGGACCCACAGTTCCGAAGCCCTGACGAAAAGCTTGGTCCTCCCAGCAACGCGGCCGACCTCTGGTAAAAATCCTGTTCAGCACGATCTATGATCGCTACAGGTCCTACGGTGCCATTTTATCGTTACTCAGCTGGGGCGCGACGCCAAACCAAAAGCAGCGAGGAAGCCGACGCGCTTCGACGACGAATAAGTTCTCACCAGAACTCGGCAGCCTTATCACCCAACTGCTGTCTTCAAAGGCGTATGTAGTTTTCGCGCTCCTTGATGATAAATTTAGAAGCCGACCGTCGGCCGTGGAATGCCTGGAATCCGCATGGATTAATAAGGTGGACATATTTTGTCTTATACCAGGGTTGAAAAGCCGCTTCGCGACTTTTCAACCCTGGCCCCGCCTGATCCCATGATATTATGCACTTTGCATAATTTTCGCGATCTTTGATGACAAAAAATGAGAAACGCTACCTCTCTTCCTTTATATAGGCAACCACAACTTCCGGCGCATGCTAATTGTTGCCTAACAAAGAGGGTGTCAGATTTTTCAACAAAAACTTGATTTTAACGTCGAAAACAGTAAATTTTTGAAACAGTTATTAGTGTGCAGTCATCCCAAGGCCATTACGCACCTAATGAGGTATAATACATGCTCCTAACTGACCCCCTTATTGAGATACTACTGGAACACGCTGACGGAAGTTTCATGCAAAGTGGCACGGACACACTCACACACACACACAGACACTTTTTTATATATAGTAGGATAGCCATTTTTCCAGAATATCGTGTCAGAGCCAGTGATGATTGACCACATTGAAGCATGGGCCAAGAAGGAGCGGGGCGAAAAGGTGTTTTTTAAAGAAGAATTACCACGTATGTAGGTGCCGCTGTTGAAACGGAGCGCTAGCTACGATTGTCCCGCCGAAACCGATTAATTTACGATTTTTTGTTAATAAAATCACTTTTCTCTACTGTCTTAATCAATTCATAGAATTTTTATCAAAACTAATCCCGGAAAAACACAGACTATTCTAAAAACTCGACCCGATAATTTCAGGCGGCAAGGCACAAAACAATATAGCACAGAAATTATGTCCAAAATTGGAACTTATTGCCCGGCAGCGGCAGCATCCTTTGCCTTCTTCAGCTCAGTGAAGTGCTTCTTGTTCTGCTCGGCGTCCATCATCATGATGCGTCCGACGACCTGGAAAATGCAACAATAGCCTCTAGTCACTGATCAAGCATGGAACAATAAATGTATGTAATACATTTTTCAAGGAATCATTTCAAACCTGATTCACAAGCATCTTTGGCAGCAACCCTTTCAAATCGACATGCATGACGACATCCGTTAGTGTTTTGTTTTCCGGGTCGGTCGGGTCAGGCCGGAAGCGTGCAGCCGCCAGATGAAGCCACGCCCTGAAAGGTACCGATAGACGAGTCGCCACATCCTAAGAGAGATGATAATATGAATCTACCTGACTTTGCCCTTCTTCACCTTCAACTGGGGCAAATCGACGCTGCGCGATGCCATAATGTAATCGTTTCCTACCTTCCGGTAGAGCCTAAACCAATTTTTCATTTCCAAAACCTTATATCCACCTCGCCGAGACGAATTCGCGACCGGTGACGATCAACACGTCATTATTTCCGTACTAAAATTGAAATTGTTGTGGCTCGCAGAAACCTTACTGTAAGAATATCAACATGGTCAGTAAGTGTGGCAACCGATGAAGCGAAATCGATGTTCGGGTTCCATTCGGGAAGCGTAGCCGCCCCAGTCCACGTCTCCTTCATCACATCGTCGGCTTTACCCGGTAGCACGGTCTAAATCAAGGAAATTCTATATCTCAAAAGGACAACCAACCCTAACAGTCACCATCTTTGTTCCTTCTTTCGTGTGCTTGGCGTAGACAATATCCCCATCATCGGTCGTTTGGTCCTCCTTCCACCCGTCTCGGTTCTACGAAATAAAAATTATAAATAACTGCCATTTAACTACCTCAAAAGAAGCGTCATTCAGTAGTTTTTCTGCATCTTCAAACGCGGCTGCGGCAGTGTCGAGCGCCACTTTATACTAAATTCTTTTTAGTTGATATTATAAAATCAAAAAACCTTTTCATTTTCGGGCGTCAAAGTATCGGTGACCCCATGGAATGTGTAGGAAGTCATGGCGAAAGCTGAAATAAAGGAATTAAAAATTGAAAACTAAAACGAAAACAGGCCTTTTGTTTCAAAAATAGAGCTCCAGATATTTTGGTGGTATGATGTGAGAACCTTGTAGTTTGTCGTCCGCGCAGAGAGCACGCAACTAGAGAGAGGGGGAGAGGACCTGACCACCGACCAAAAGAATAACAGCGCGATAACACTATTCGTGAGTCTCGAAATGGTCGTAAATCAATGACAAGAGAGGTCATCGCTTTCAGGGGCTCTTGTACTTTGCCGCGTTTGTTTTGAGGGGTTTTCAGCGTTCTTTTGGCTATGCCATATCGATCGTTGTTATTCGCGAATTTGAAATGTCCTTCAATTTAAAACGCGAAGTCCTTTCAAAGCAAAAAGCTCAAATCTTCTTAAAAAAACTTTGGCCGTCGCAAAAAACGTGGCAACTACGAGAGCAAAACTTTCTGCAACATCCAAAAAGTTCTAACAACCATTGCCGGCTAAGATGATATAACGGTAAAGAGGTTTTTGCGAAAACTAAAAGCTTTTTAAAGAGTCAAGATTTAAAAGCGTTATTCCGTTCAAATTGTAAAGTATTTTCAATCTAAACGCTAAAAACTCGTGCAAAAACGCCTAATAAAGGTGCTCAGTTGTCCGTAAAGCAGGAAACATACCGCCCTCCATCGCCAGCGCCCCAATAATCAGGGCGCTGAATAGAATCCCTGGATTCGCGAGCATTTCAGTGTAGTTGTGGTGGGAAGAATGCTCCAGACCCCCCGAGAGATGAGCGCAATAAATAGGTTCAACTCGACGGTTTGAAACATCTGTTCACAGTGGCCTGATCCATCCTGTTACACTGAAGCCCCGGGGGCCAAGGTACGGGATACCCATTGCGTGATTGCATTGCTGACCAGCACGTACATTTTACAAAAATACTTTTTAAAGGGGAAATTGGGTGCGTGAACAATTTTCGAGAATATTAAAAATATTACATCAGCTTGCGTGAAGAGTTAAATTCATCTTTCAAGCTATGTGATCTGCGGCACACTCCGAAGATTTAGCAAACCCTAAGCAACGCGCCACTCCTGTTGACTCAAAAATGTATGGGGCCAAAAATTCTAAGCCTTTTAACTTTCAAACTAAAGCTAATGTTCAAAAAAGCTTGTTCCAACTTCGTAGAATGGAACACGATGATTCTAATGATATCAAGCACTAAGAAAATCGAATTCAGATAGTATCAAAACCAAGGCGATTTTTGTTGATGATTTTGTGAAAAGTGGTATTTCGTAGGGTTATTTTGCTGTCTTTGGGATCATTCGAACCGTAAAATCCTTCTTTGCAATAATTGATCTTGAGATTTCAATATTAAGTCGTTTTAAATGGTTATAACCGCCTAAACTTTCTTAGCGCGCGCTACGGCCAGCTCCTATGGACGCTTTGTCCCTCCCGCAAATTGCCGTTTTTGGCCTGTTTATACTGAAATTGTTCCTCTTTTGATGTTTAATTAGCTACAGATGGCTGTTCGAATCGTAGTATTATTATTGTTGCACTGTTAATAGACTTTAAAAATTTATGCACATATAAATTCGCATAATCAACTATTATGGGGGGCAGCACCCTGATTTGATGGGCGAATAGGGGGGAAGCAAAATAAAATCTGAAGTAGGGAAAATGAGCAACGGATAGACAATCTCGGGGGTGGCGATCAGGATTGGGGGCTTGTCCTCGGGGTCGTGCAAAATTTCCGAGCATGACGCGCGGCCCGAATTTCGCCCCGACACCTTTGGGGTAACAATCCGATATCTATTCGAATTTCACACAAAAGCGCACCACAAAAATGATGAATTTTACGAAAATAGATTGATCAGGCTGGGATCTTTTTTTGAGGCGATCAGGAGGGGATCACCAGCTTGATCAAAGCGAAAATGCAGAGCTGAATAGAAATACCCATTTTTAACGTGGGGGTGGCCCTAGATAAGCCGCTGGGGTCATCGAGCCCCTAGCGGCATAGGGCACCAAGCAGCGCCAAAGTGACCAGAATCACAAGACAAAACACATCAAGGGAACAGAGGACAAATGACTAAAAGGTATTTTCAAGGGCACTGAACGTTTTTCAAGGCACTTATCCAATCTGGGGGGGGGATAGGTAGCGGAGGGCAATATTTAGACGGGCAGAAGCACACACAGCAGCTGTACAATCGAGAAGAGGCCGGCGATGAAGATAGTGGTTTTTTTTGGATCTTTGGTGTGTATTAGGGGTTGATGTAGTCGGTGAGGACCCTGAAAAATCCACTAAAATAGACGGCTTCTCGGTTTAGGATATTGTAATGAACTATTTTGCGACAAGTTCTGTTTCGAACTTTAGAAGATCTGTTTGCTACACCTCACTTTTACTAGCCTTCCCAGGCAAATCTACCAAAAATTAATTTTTGCCTTTTTGGTGATTTTGTCGGGATTTTGGCTACACCATCCGATAGAGCATCAAAAAATATATTCAGGTTTTAATTACAGCCCAAAATGGTGTAAATATCCAAAAAAGTTCCTCTCGAAAATGCTTGGGGAACTTCCAGCCGGGGAGTCTCACCGATTTCCTTTCCACCTCACCTACAAGTTTTTACGCAATATCAAATAAAATTAAAATTTCAAATATAGCATTTTCGTACCAGGAAAAACTTACTACATCCGATCTACTGTTTGTAGGGATGGTCCCGCGAACTTCCGAGCAGGCGCCTCTGTTGCAGTATCGCTCCTAAAGCAACGCAGTTCAGTTATTTCGATGGCCAAAAACGGACCTGGGGCGCTTTGTGCGGCGGCTCCGGTTAGGTCCTGGACCCCGTACTCGGCACCCATATATTGGCCCAGCATTCCACCTAAAAACCTTGTTCACTAGTTGACCTTCGGGACCGCAGACCGCTGCTGTTGCCCAAATCACCTACCGTATCCGGCGGCGGCCAACTGCTGCTGCTGTGCGAACTGCATGGCTTGCAGCGTCTGCGCATCCAAACCCATTGCTGCTTGTTGGCTAAAAATTGCTTTTTTGTTAAGCTGCTAGTATACAGCACGACGACGGCGCGTATTGGAACAATGCTTACCCCAGCAGCAGTTGCTGATAGTCAACGGCTTGTTGCTGTTGCGCCATCAGCGCGGCCTGGTGATGCGCCATCAGGTTGTTTTCGGCGCTCTGGAAACTCTGATTTGTTGCTTGGAGCTTTTGCGGAGTTACCTGGGACGTCGCTGCGGCGTTGAGCGCTTGTTGCTGGGCAATCAATGCCGCCTGACTTGCTCCGACTTGCCGAGCTTGGGGCGACATGATGATCGGGGCACCGGCAAGACCGGGGGATCGAATTTGTCCTGAAAAGGCTTTTTGGGGACTCGATTTAATGTCTAAGCGTTCACTTCCGCAGCTTGTTGTAAAACGAAAGCCGCTGTAAAAATTACCTGCAGAGACGGCCGCACCAGCTCCAGCCAGCTGCAGCTGAAGGCTTCGTCCCTGGGCCTGGGCAAGAGCAGCAGCTTCTAAAAAACCGTTAACACCTCCCAGATGAAACCCACGAATTGCGGCCATGCCGGTCTGCTTGGCAGCGGCGAGCTGAGCTGCAACAACAGCATTTTGCTGTGACGTGCTGCGGTAGGTGCCGTTGATGATGGCCAGCTCCATCAACTGCTTCCGCTTCAGCTCATCTTCCCCTTCGGGCTGAAAATACTGTTCAGAGTGTCTGAATCATAACCTACCGCAGGCACGAGCAGCTTCTTGATCTCGTCGACGGCCCGTTGCAGCTTGACCTTGGCGCGGTTCTGCGTGTCTTCCACCTACGTACATAAGGCTTGAAGGGCGCAGCGATGACGTACCTGGATTAGAACATGGAGCTCCTCATTCAGATGTTCCCAGTTCGGCTTGCCGCGGTTCAGCTCTTCCTGAAATTAGAGAAATCTTCGTCTGCAATTTTTTGGGATACATACCTTCTTTTTGTCCCTCATCGAGCCCTTTCCACGGACCATAATCTTGCAGCCAGTCTCCTGCTCGAGTTGTTTGGCCGTCATTCCGCGGGGTCCAAGGATCCGACCCACAAAGTTGTACTGGAAAAGGCGATACTAAGAGGGAATCGGTAGATGACATACGTCTGGATGCTCCTTAGCGGGGACAAAGACGCGCTCCGTGAAAACCTGCGATTCGCCCTCCGCGTCCGGCAGTTGCAGGTCACCCTTGTTGAACTCGAATTGGAAAAGCGCGACCCGAACTCTGCTGATTTCTAGAAGTGACGTGGATGAGCGAGGTGTCCTCTGGACTTACCCTCATCGGCAAGGCGCTCGAGATGATGGAATACATTCGGGAATGCGGCCAGCTGCTTCTTATCCCTGAGCAGCTGCGACAAATACTCCACGGTGTACCGCTCGCCATTGCCTGCGACGCCGGGCACTGCAAAGAGAGAACTTAGCCTGTGGTTAGGCCTGACGCTTTAATTTTTGTAGGTCGAAAAGCTTTTAGTGGCTGGGCAGTCACGGTCGAACCGTTCTTTGTAGACAACCAATAAGACTGTTAGGGTTGGTTATTTGCATAAAAAGTTATGTTTTCCCCCTGGTCACCTTGGAGAGGCGAAAAAGTGCAGGCTACCCTCCTTCTCATCTCCTAGCATTCCTAATGCGCTGATATACGCGGTTTTCGCTCGGCTACTTGCTGACAGCCCCTTGTCAGTCATGAAATAGCGTGCCCACATTTCTCGCCTCAAATTTGCTGTCATCCCCCCGGAACCGGTCGCTAGCTGTACGCGGCCCCCTCCAATCAATCACCAATCCAAGGCCGACGGCGGCCGCGGGTCCTTGGGGGGAAGAATAAAATTGATAACACGAATCCGTTTAACCTTAGCAGCTTCTTTAAAGGGACGGACAAGTCAGGACTATCGACTTCTAGTATTTTCCGTTCCCTTTAAAGAGGCCCAGCCCTTCCCTCCCTTATACTTGGTTTTTAACATAACAAATACGCGTGCGAAATAGGACACGGGTTGATGAAACCTAGATGAGGGGTGCTCGGCGACTCAAAATGTTATATACGTTTAGTTTTAGAGCTACGCGATGCATTCGGTTTTAGCCACCTGTTATCACGACACCAATTGGGAGTATCTTTTTTGAGGGTGTTGATGGTGATGCTCCCCGGTGAGCTATTAAAAGATCTTAGGGCCACCGTTTTTGGACCCAAACGGTTTGGCAGCCTTTTTGGCGTAACTTAAACACTACCAGTTTTGACGTTCGTTTTCGCTCAAAACATCGGATTTGGTTCTTTTACATTATCGGGGGATCGCACCTTTTGTAGAAGTCTAGAAATGCCTAGTAACTTAATAGAAAGTGTTTTTATAGTGTTTTTAGTAATATATAGCTCTCTTTGAACTAGAAAAACTACCTAAAAACTTTTGAAAAACCAAAAATTTGGTCACAAGTCGGCCATATTCGTTCGAAAATCGATATTTTGTAATACAAATTTTTAAAGCTTTGAAGTTTCGGAATAGTAAAAAACAATTTAGCAACACTTCCACTATGTGAAAAATTAGATCCTAAGAAAAAAGCTTGTCCCCCCCGATAATGCAAAAGAACCTCGGAATTGAGCCATACCTTCAGGCACTTGCCAGAGCCATTTTTTAGTTTAGGCCTGGATGCTAGATTCTGCTAGATTTTGCTAGAGCCATTGCTCAATTTTTTTTACGTTGCCCGGGGGTTGTTACCGTTAGTATTGTGTGGGGTGGAGGCGAGATCGGAGGCCGAGGCGGATCCGTGTGCCGTCATCAGCGCGGCCACGTCGTCGTGCTGCGGGCTGCCGGAGGTAGCGAGGCCGGGGGTCGTCGTCGAGCCCTGCAAGGCTAGCAAAGCTCATCCCGGCCAAATTCCGAGGGGCGCCAAATGACGGGGGGGAAGGAACGGCTCGGAAAAACTAAGGAATCTTCGCCTCTCGCCACGATGTCACGAACACCCTCCGTCCGGTGGGTTAGGATGCAAATGGCAATGGTTTTTTGGGGGTATTGCCATTAATGGATTACTTCCAAAAAAGTTAAGTTCTTTCTGTTGCGCCTTGAGTTTGTTCGGGGGCAGTACTGTAGGTTTGAGAGTTGATACAAAGGATCGCGACTTTGGGTCGTTGCTAATTATACCCAAAAAACCCCTCTAACTCGACGCAGAAGTATCGGATCGGAATGATATTTACACCATTCGAAAGCACTTGAAACGGCGAGTTTTCAACAATCTTCATAACCACATTTTTATTTAAACCCACCACCTCACAATCCATTTTGTAAGAGTTTCAGTGTTTTCGGGGTTGGATACGAGCTAACTTGCTTGAATTTCTATTGGCCATTTCAAAAGCGTTCTAATGGTATAACTATCATTCCGACTCGATACTTCTGCGTAGAGTTGGAGGCGTTGTTTTTTTGGGACACCATGTACAGCAAGTCATCGAAAAAAATCCCGTATCTTCGCGAACCTCTTGATACCGTCTCATTCAAACCTGGCAGCACTGCGCACCAAAACCGTTATATTAGGCAAACTAATTAAAGTTTAGTGCAAGAAACCGGTTATTAGATCGATCAAGAGAAAGAGCCGGCCGCAGAGAAAATGTCAGTGGGCGCTTTTTGGCACGTTTTTGGTTGTTGGGTTGAAGTTACTGGCTATGGCCGTCAAAAACGAAAACGGAGAAATTAAGAAAACGGTTGGCATTCGTGACACGGACACGGGGTTTAGCAGAAATCAAATGCTTTTTAGGGTCAGAACTGGTAACTGGTGAATCAACAGAGCAATTCTTTGGGGTTGGCTGGCAATGGTTTTTTTGCGTTCGAACAAGTCCGGATTGATGAAAGAATTTTTGCAGGAAAGACCAAGAAAGCGAGCACCCAAATTTTCCAGGTGGGAAAGTGAATGCAGAGTGGGAAATAAATCGATGTTGAGGAAAACGCAGGGGGCAGCCGCTGCAATTTAGCAATCACCTCGACTGTGGCGGAACGGAAAATCTCGAGCCTTCTCCTGCTCCCCAAAAATGGCGGGAGAAGGGGGGGGGGGAGGAGTCGAGATCAGCGAAACTCGGATACGGCTGCTCTTAAATCGGGGGCGCAATTGTTTCAGGGCTCTAAGTGGAGGGTGATGCCCGCAATGGGTCATGCTATGAAAAAACGCTCCGAAATAATGGGGTCGCACGCCTCAAGGCCGAATTTAGGGCCGAAGGCGTCAGTGGAAAGGAGCGCAAGCCTGGGGTAGGCGATTTCTCGAGCACTGGCAGTAATCAATAAATTGACCATTGGATTGCCAGAAAACAGCGAGCAGCGCAGAAGACTACTACAAGAGTCCGCACGACACGAGACCCCACCCAAAAGCTCACTTGAAATGTTGAGAGGCTGGCGGTAGTTACGGTAGCCGGGCCATCGAACGAGAGGAACTGGGCTGACATGGCGACCCTCAGCAGCACGCCGCTTCTTCCTCCGTATACACAATCAGAGTCCCCGGGACTGAGAAGGCTGAGAGTGGACGTTCGATCAGCGCGCGCTGTTCTACACGACTGATGTAGGGGGAGAGATGTCTGTGTGTATTTGGCCAAGATTGGCCAAGTCGAGGGGCCCCTCGTGGGGCCACTCTTCTATGGGCACGCAGCCTATACCCTCCCATACCCAGCCTATTGCTGCGGCTTTTTGTGTCAGCATTTTCGGGGCAGGATTGTCGATAGAAACCACATCCTAAGCCAGTCTGGCTGCACGCGAGAATATGAAAAAGTCAACCAACCTAGATGCGAGAATACGAAGCCGAGAGTCTAGGAAGCTGCGAATCGATCGAAGACGATCTGCCGGGTGTTCTGATCGGCGGGACGCTATGCGTTGTGGCCACCGAGAGGAGGAGGGCCCGAAAATTGTGCAGGCCGTGAGTGAGGCCGAGCAGTTGTCTTCCCCTTCTCAACCCTCCACCTCGTGCTCTTCCTTTGCCGATGCTCAGTGCCCTCGGGGCCCATCACCCAGGGCCCGAGCGGGTCCGTTGTAAAACGGGGCGCGCGCACAACGACACACGGCGAGCACAACTGGTACCAAATGTGCGAGGGTCCAGACCCGGAAAGTTTTATGGGGCACCGTCGGCAGATGACCCGGTGTGTATAGAGATAGGCAGCAAGGAGAAATGATTTGAAGAGATATTTCCGGCGATTTTTTACTCCGGAAACTACGCGGATTCTAAAATCTTCATAACTTTTTAAATCATATCGTTTCGTAGCTTCTGAAAACGGGCTCGAAATAAGCGCAAAATTCTGCAAAAGGTACGCTTGGTCCCGTACGGAAACTCGATTCTCACTAAGAAACGTCTGCTTGTGAGTACTGATCTGCCATTTCTCCTGCCATCCTGGAGTTCGTCACTCGACTCCACCCGAATAATTTCCTATCACTATGCCCCTCGTCTTCGTCTCATTCCGTTAGAGGCCAACCCCCAGGGGTGGATGGGCTATGAGAACGAAGTGTATGCTGAGCACCAAGGCAAATACTGGCGTCCCGCAAAAGCCGCGCGAGCCCCCGTGGGAGCTCTAGCAACATTGTCGTCAACGGTTTGCCGCCGTATACTGTGAGTGGTGAGGAGGAGCTTGAAAAAATACTAGGAGTAGCCGGGAGTCTTGGCTTCCAAAAATCGGAAAATGTGCTGTATTCAGAAAAAATGAATCGACATGCCGACTAAAGCTAAAATGTTCGGGATTATTAGAGCTTTAGAAATTAGAAAAATGGTCCTGATTAAGGTCCGCAAGCTCCGACAAGTAAAAAAAAACATATCTCGACATGGGGGGGTTGGCGAAAAATGGGCATTGGCGCGACGACCTAGTTCGTCGACAGATTCCGGCCGTTGATAGGCTTCTACCGTTGCCCGTGACCTTTCCGTCGGCAAGGACGAGATCCACTAAATAGGCCCCCCATGCGCGGCTGACCCAGCCGGTCTGCGTCTCTGCGTGAAAATTAGATCTGTTTACCACTTCTCGCGCACCCGAAACTTTCAGGGAACAGTGGCATACCGGAATGGCCGGGTTATCGATTGAAATTGCG